CCTTGTATAGAAGTACCAGATCATGTAAAATGTATATGTCATGGATGATTATACTGAAATGCTGATAACAAACAGAGAGTGAAATGAATAATTCAGCACCCAACCCTTTTCACCTACACACATTTTGGGAAGATGGACTCTTGCCATTGTTGGCACTGACTGTTCATTAAAATAGATATGCCAGGGCAGCACTATCAAATATTCCTAATTGAGAATGCTTGCTGATTGATATTTTGTCAGTGTGTGTTAGTTAAGTGAATAGACCTTTGGACTCTTACTTTAAAACTAGAAGTTGAGAAAAGTGCATTCTTAAATTTGTAAGTTTGGCCTTAGAGTGATGGCAGAGGAAGATGGATTAAAGTAAGTGACTGAACTATTTTTAAGGTAACGGTGGACTCATTTTCAAAGCTGTGATGTTGTCGGTGCAGCCGTGTAAATTTATCTTTTGTGACATGAGAGAAAGGAGATATGAAATACCAAATAAAGAATCTGGGCACTTTATTATGTTTAAAAGCTGAGAGAAATAGATAAGAGGCTGACATTCAGGAATACTTGTAGTCATTGCTAAGGCAATGAAATAAATAGGTCTTAATTAAATATGAAGATAATAGAAGTAAATTTCACATTAGTTAATTAGCTTCATAAATAAGTCATTTCTCTTTAGATACCAAAGAAATACTCTGAAGGAAAAATAAATATAAGGGTAAAATAACTAGGCTTATATGAGTAAACATAGAGTTTCAAGATGTGATTTTAGTACAAGGTCATAAATTCAATTAGAAATTGGTGAATAGCTCCTATAAAGGAGATGATTAGAAACTCAATGAATCTGAATATTATATTCATGCAATTATTTTTTTAATTTGTAACTGCCACTTTTAATAGACAATTCCAATAACAGCATGTACTAGCAATGCTCTTAACTTGATATAAAAGTTTAAAAAATCTTAGCTAGAGACGATTCTGATTTATTTTATCTATAATCACTTTTTTACTGATTGGACCTAAGCAATCCACTATCTTTACTCAGTATATCTTTTAATGAAATGTTCAGACACTTCCAGAGACTGTGCAGCAAAAATGTGTCAGGAGTGTGAAAAATCCTGTCATAATTTAGAAACTTAAAAGTGCATTCAGTATATCTATTGGCCTTGGTTATGTCGTGACATTTCTTACGTAGTCTCTTTTGTCAAAAAAGTCTGATTGGTTTTCATGTGTACCCAGCAACATAAAAGGAAAATGTTACTGAAGAGCTTGTCACTGCTCTTATACAGGCATTAATTAATATGTATACCTCTGTATAATCTACTGATGGCACCAGGAATAAGTCCCGGATAACTCGATGGAAACAAAACTAGTCAACTTGTAACTATGTGAGGGTGGTTTAAATTTCTTAAAAGGAAGACCCAACTGAGTAATTCTGCTCACTTCCACCACCACCTACAACTAGGAAGAAAGGAGCAACGTCTTAGGGCTTGATTTTTTTTGGTCTCTAGTAAGAAAGAGTTCTGGGATGAGGGCTCCAGAGACTTGCTCCCCTCATGCACAGCATGTACACTCAACCCATTTTAGTTGTGGACAAATCGACTCCTCTACCCGCTTCTGAAGGAAGTCTGGACCTGGCTGCTGGCTGATTTCTGTTCTACACATGGGAGGGAGGTGGACAGTCCAGGTTTCTACTAGGCCTTCACTGTAGATAATATTAAATTTCATTCATCTTTTCCAGCCCATAAATAAGGATTGGCTATATTTGGCCATTTCACTTGTTTCCCTAGAACATTATTTCAAACCTTATTCTTCAAAATCACTGTTTTTAAAGCTGTATCTCTAGGAAGAGAAGATGGGACTTGGTCACAGAGGTAGAATTGTTGGGCATATGATGAAGATGTGTGCACACACATGCACACATTTGCACACATAGCAGCTCTCATGATATCAGTTTGTCATTCTTTTAAATTGAATCATAGGAAAAAGATCCTTAGGAACGGAGTCTTTGGATCTTGATATTTTCTGTAGATTAGCCAGTTGCATGATTTATATTCATTAAGACCTAAATTTGTACATAAACATGTGCCTTTTAGCTGCTAACTGTATAATTTATAGGGTTATAAATGGTCTTAAGATCCTGATGTTTTAAAGTGAATGTTAATTTTTAAATAAATACAGTAAATAATTTTTTTACTATTAGATTTCAGGCTATATAGAATTTTTATGTAATGGAACTTTAAGGAAAATGAGTAAATAATGATGAGACAAAACTGCTGTAATCTGGAATATGATAAAGATTAACCGGGAAAGATATACATATATGTATAAAAGACTCAACATACTTCAGAATATCCATCAAATGGGATTTCAATTACCTTGAAAGTACACAAAAGACAAATTCAGAAGCACTAAGTTAGCATTTATTTAGAGTTTGCATGGGATTGTTTTATAATACTAGAGGCCCCGTGCATAAAATTCATGCATGGGGGGGGGTGTCCCCTCAGCCCAGCCTGCACCCTTTCCAATCAAGACTCCTCGGGGGATGTCCAACTGCCAGTTTAGGCCCGATCCCAGGGATTGAGCCTAAACTGGCATCAGACATCCCTCTCACAATCCTGTACCGCTAGCTCCTAATTGCTCACCTGCCTGCCTGCCTGGATGCTCCTAACTGCCCCCCTGCTGGCCTGGTCGCCCCTAACTGCCCCCCTCTGCCGACCAAGTTGCCCCTAACTGCCTCCCCCTGCCGGCCTAGTCACCCCCAATTGTCCCCCCTGCCAGCCTGGTTGCCCCCAACTGCCCACCTGCCTTCCTGGTCCCCTCTTACTGCCCCTCCTGCTGGCCTGGTTGAGCCTAACTGCCCCCCTCTGCTAGCCAAGTTGTCCCTAACTGCCTCCCCCTTTCAACCTAGTCACCCCCAATTGTCCACCCTTCCAGCCTGGTTGCCCCCAACTGCCCCCTTCCGGCCTGGTCCCCTCTTACTGCCCCTCCTGCCGGGCCTGGTCAGCCCCAACTGCCCTCCCTGCTGGCTTGGTCACCCCTCATGGCTCCCCTGCCAGCCTAGTCACCCAATGCAGCCTGCTGTTCAGTCGTTTAGTCATCCCTCCCTAACCCCCCGACAGGCCTGGTCACCCCACGCAGCCTGCTTGTTCAGTTGTTTGATCGTCCCTCACTAACCCCCCTGCCGGCCTGGTCGTAGGCAGCCATCTTGTGATGGAGTGGGGGTTAATTTGCATATTACCTCTTTATTATATAGGATGTGAGGTATACAAAGTTAAGGCAGCATGTATCTGTTGTCTTTTGCATAATATAATTTCAAAAGTTTATGAGGGAAATTTGTGGAATTAATACAGAAGACTATTGTATTAATTTTCAAATGGATAAGAGTAAAAATTGACTTTATTTTGGTTTTAATATTTTACTGAGTATAATGATTGCATATAGTTAACTCTTAAGTCTAATCAACATTGATTCAATTGAATATGGTTTTTAAATATGAGAAAAATAATCACTTTAATTTATTTATGAAGTTATGGGCCTTTCTATCCTTAACATTTATTAGAAATACAAATTAATTTTTGAGGCAGAATGAGCACAGCCACATATTTTAAATATTTTTCTGCCATCATGCCAGATGACATGAGGAAGGCTTTCAATGACCAATTTTTAAAGTTTCAAAATGAAATGGAAGGTACTTAAAATTAAACTTTTCTCCCAAGACCATACTTTGTCATTTGTTGAGATGGTTTAATTGGGAAATACTTAAAATTTATTTGAAGACAAAAGAAATACCAGTGTATACCAAGTAAAAGACAAAAATCAATAAAACGAGAGCCCTGAAGCTGCATAAAGTGTGAATAAAATGAGAACCATAGATTTAAGATATGAAAGAAATTACTTTTATGAAAGAGCCAATTGAGGTGTAACTCACAATGATGTTTCTACATATTTAATAACTTTAAGTTAGTATAACTCTGCTATGTTATAAAGAAGCATTCTCAAGAATGAGATTGTAAGTTTTCCAATATATTTTTTAAATTTCTCTATTCTACTAAATTATTTTTCATGAAGAAGCAAATAGAAGCAATAAAGTTTTAGGAACCGTCTCCTTTTAAGATGAGTAGTTAC